GTGGCATAGATTATGAATTTTACAGTGATGAAATGCAAATTCTAATGTCAAGACCATGTGAATCGGCTGTACAGCATGTTAGGCTTCCTCAATTAATTACAATCAGGAGTGCAATAGTGAAAACCATATTTCATGGTCTGTGAACATCAGTTTTAAAATATATGAAGAATGTTTGAAACACGATGCAGTTTGACTGTTCTGGGTAGCTTAAGTAACTAGTTGAAGCAACATCTTCTATATTTAACCTGTTTGCAACTATTTCTAACCTGCACGACATCCCGATGGCCTAAGTTGTTACGGTAGTAAATAAATAATTCCTATCACAAACAATACGAAAGGTATTTTTTCCCAAGATTTCAGGTCAAGTTTATTTTTTATTCAATATGTACAAATTGATCAAAAATTGATTAATTCATTTCTTTCAAATATCCGGCGGGTTGAGAGCTGTCATTAATCCTTTAGCTGCCTTTAGTCTTCACAGAGGGGAGCAACAACAAATTGAGAAAAAAATGAGAGTGGGAACGTATGAGTGATTTACAGATATAAAGGAAACACACAGACACAAAGGCAGTGCAAAGGTAAGAAGAGTAATGAAAAAGTGGATGGATTTGATATATAGTGGGGTCATGGTAGATTGAGGTCAGAAGTCAATTGCCCGTTTATGGACCTTCTTGCCGTATTAGTATACATTGAATAATGGGCAACACTTAGTGGCAAGTCTATCCTTTAACTCTATTTAGCTGGAAATGCGTAAGCAAAATTTTGGAAAAGTCGCATAAGGTTATTGATCTGAGATTTTTCTAAAGTGGCAAATTTATCCTGGACTTTGGGCGGAATGAGGCAATAACCAAGTATTACATGCTCTTATCAGCGATAATTTTCAAAAATTTCCCCACATTTAAAAGGTTTAGTTAAGCATAGATGCAGATGGTAAAGTCTTTTTTTAAACGCTTTTGTTTGCGATTCTTTTTGACTCACCAGAATACTGTTCCAGTGGAAGTCAACAAGATATTTGTGTCTAACGGTCAATGATAATTTGTAATAACCTGCCAAGGTGAGATACATTCTCGTCATTTCTACTCTATGTCCAAGTAACCAGTGTTCACCATTCAGTTGACTTTTCAGATTGGAATAGAGAAATGGGCATAAAAATAAGTTTCGATACTGGCAAGTTTTCTTTTCTCCTGCCCACATTAAGATTGCCCCAGGTCTATGCAACACTTCCAAGGCCTCTGCTTGTTACAAAGATCAACAAATCAACAAGAAGCCACTTTCTCCCAATTTTTAGGTCACAATGATCAACGAACCAACAAGTAGCCACTTTCTCCCAACGCCTTGATGCAAGAAATACCCTTTCGGCTGTTTTTGTAGACTTCAAATCAGCATATGACTTAGTATGAAAAGAGAACCTAATTCTAAAATTGGTAAAGATTGGTATTAAGCATAACATGCTAAACTGGATAAAATCATTCATTGGACAAAGATCGTGTAAAGTCAGATATGGAAATGCTCTATCAAAATCCAATCTTTTACAAACAGGCCTTCCACTAGGAGCGATCACAAGCTGCACTCTTTTCAATGTCTTCATCAATGACATAGCCGAATTGGCACAGACAGTCACGGGCATCAAGTGTTTACTTTACGCAGATGATCTTGTTCTATGGTATTCCGTCCCTAAGAAAAACGCGCAGGAAAGAACAGAAAGTGCCCGAAATTATGCACTTAAACTACTAGCAAACTAAAGCGACAACAATGGAATGGTAATCAACACTGCAAAAACAGCTTCTTCTTTGGCCCATCAGAGCATAAACCCGCTTCTAAGGTTTTGGCCCGTCACAGCATAAACCCGCTTCTAAGATACAAGGAAATCAACACTGCAAAAACAGCATTCCAAACTTTCTCTTTAGACCATCACAGCATAAACCCGCCTCTAAGGTAAAAGGATACTAACATAGAAAAAACCAATGATTTCACATATCTCGGAATGACTTTTGACACTAAGCTAACGTGGAAAAGTCACATTAATGACTTTTGACACAAAGCTAACGTGGAAAAGTCACATTGCCAAATAGCAGAACGCGTCTCCAATAGACTGAATGTCCTGAACAATTTTGACACAAAGCTAACGTGGAAAAGTCACATTGCTAAATTAGCAGAACGAGTCTCCAATAGACTGAATGTACTGAAGCGCCTTGCTGGTAGCGTATGGGGCTGTGCGCGCTCAACTCTAAAAACCCTTCAACCTATGGGGCTGTGCACGCTCAACTCTCAACACCACTTACAAGATATTTATTCAGCCAATAATGTTGTATACTGTGAGCCACTCATACAGCCACAGAGTTATTGCTGTGAGCCACTCATTACAGCCACAGAGGTGACTCTCAAACCACCTTCACAGATTGGGAGTATACACTCAACCCACATGCCCTCTATGTAACCTACATGAGGAAATGGATAAGGCCCACCTGTCTATGTGACCTACAGGAGGAAACGGAGAAGACCCACCCCTATGTAATCTACAGGAGAAAATGGAGAAGACCCACCTGATTCGGTGTTCAAAGGAGGAAATGGAGAAGACCCACCTGATTCGGTGTCTAGCGGAGGAAATGGTGATGACCCACCTGATTCGGTGTCCAGCTCTAAAGACAACGCAGACCCACCTGATTCGGTGTCCAGCTCTAAAGACAAGGACATGGAGTCTGATTGTGAAACCTACAGGAGGAAATGGAGAAGACCCATCTGATTCTCTACAGGAGAAAATGGAGAAGACCCACCTGATTCGGTGTTCAGACGGAGAAGACCCACCTGATTCGGTGTCCAGCCCTAGAGACAAGAAACCCACATGCCCCCTATGTAACCTACAGGAGGAAATGGTAAGGCCCACCTGATTCGGTGTCCAGCCCTAAAGACAAGTACGGAGCACCTGATTCGGTGTCCAGTCCTAAAGACAACGACGGAAAGCCGAGATACTGGGAAGCAAGAAGACGGCTAAAGGAAAGCCAAAGATACTGGGAAGCAAGAAGACTGCTAATGTCTGCTATTAATTAACTGCTATATATGTACCCCCCACCCATGGGCTGTGTTAATAACCGCTATAAATGTACCCCCCCCCCCTCTTGGGGAAGCTGAAGTCAAAGATTAAGGCTATAAATGTACCCCCCCCCCCACCCTTGGGGGAAGATGAAGTCAAAGTTTTTCCGCTATTGATTAACTGCTATAAATGTACCCACCCTTCCTTGGGGGAAGCTGAAGTCAAAGTTAAATTGCGAATGATACCCCTCCAGGAAGCTGAAGTCAAAGATCAAGGGCTAATGATAAATATCATAAAGCCTGCCATTTGAATTAAATAAATAAAGATTGCCCCAGGTCCATGCAACTCTTTCAAGGCCTCTGCTTGTTACAACCACCGCATTTACGTATCGTTCTCAATTGTCAATCTATGCCAAGAAGGCTATTCTTCTTGCATCAATAGTTTTCTAACTATATGGGTTCGCCAGAAAATTTTTTTATAAACTATGTGTTTTTATTAATTCAATCAATAAAGTGATCTTTTTCTTAATTTTATAATGCCTAAACCAAGTCAAACGTAAACAAGTAAGTAATATCAATGTTCAAGTAAAATCCATATCAAGGTGCGTATAGACCTCATCGTAAGTCACGATTTCTGTTTCATCATTTAAAAATATAAAATTCACTTCCTATTCAATTTTCTTATATTTAAAATGTGTTAATTTTGATTTTAAATCCAACTTAATTGGCAGCCAAGACAAATATCTATGGCATTGAAAATTATTATGGTCACCCTTATACCCCACAATAAATGTCACTCCAAGCTCAAATGAAGCTCTTTAATTATAAGCATTAATGCACATGCCTATTAGTCGATAAAAAGTATCCTGAGGAATTCAAATCTAATATCTGTCGATATATACGAGATTGCAGTAAAAGGTGGAAATGATTTAGCTATTGTTCGATTAAGTGGAAAGGAGACCAAATGCAAAAAATAGTGAGAAAATCTGGAAAGATAAGGGTAGCACATCTTCAAATATAGGACTTCTAATTGTACTGAGAACGATTTTTCCTTTTCAGGATCACCTTTAACTAAGTTAATATCAGGAAAGTAGCATATATGAGGAACAAATTAATCAATCGTAAATATTTAAAATTTTGAAGCCTATTGAAAATCGCATTTTATGTATATTTAAACAAAGAGAGTTTTGTTAATTTTCTATAAGGGGAACCTTGAACGATTAGGGCCAATATACACTCTAAATAGAAAAGAAGAGAAGACTATAATTTGCATCCTTATCAAGTTATAAATAACTGCACTGATTACAGGATTTCTGTTGTTGTTGTCAAACAGGCAATTAAAACCTAGTTTCTTGATAGCGCATTTTCTTACAATACGTACACATATGTATTTATATTTTTTTTAAATGGCAGGCGTTTTGATTGTCATCATTAGAACGTTAGTTGACTTAAGGCTCCACAGAAGAGATTTTATTTTATATTTAGCTGTGGCGCTGCTTATTGAACATTTACTTCGAAAATCCTGGCCAGATAAATTTAATTTTTAAGGTGCTTTCCTCTTTTTAAACGCAAATGAGTTGTGTCTCCTTTTGTGGCATCGATATTAATTAATATTGGCTGAGAAAAATGTCAGCCTTATCAATCAGAAAGAAGAGAGTAATACGACTATCAGCAAAAATTTCAATGATATCTTTTCCTAATTCTGCTTATGATGCATTCCACTTTTCAATTAACAATAGACATTAAATGATAAGCGCCTGTCATGAGATATTTCATTTCCCCTCCTGGGCCTTAATCAATCCAATTTTGTCTTTGCTTGCAGCATTCTTATTAAGGTGTGAGTAGCGTGGCAGCTTTCGAAAAACGGATAGAAAATATTTTTTTCATTTCATCAAAAGTCACGTTTCGTTTCACGATTATCAAATGAGTTGTGCCTCCTTGTGTGGAATCTATATTAATTTATACACGATATCAGCATGTTGATAGTCTATAAATTTAGTGAGCTAAATGTACTAATATTCGCAAGTCGAAACAATGCTGCGAAAATGGTGAAGGATTAAATTTTCAAATGCAAATATCTTGCTTTATAGCCCAAAGCAGCAGAGCACTGGATCTTAACAATGTCGAGTCATTGAACTACTGGACCAGAGACAGTAGTCTAATGTTAAGTAGCATCTTTAAGCCATCAAGATAAATTGTGAAGAAAGATGAACTGTTTATTAATTTTAATTTAAAATAGATAGATAAGTTCCCACGGAAGTAATTGATGAGAACAAAATTGTTATCTACCTTTCACTCAAAATT